AGAAAGGCGTTCTTGCCCTCCCGCTTATTAGTGTAAATAACAGAGAAAAAATCTATCTGCCTTTAACTTTGCCATTTGGTAATGTCAATCGTACTTCTAAATCCAAACTTTTTCTGTCCCTAACCATGCCTCTTCGTGCGACTGCACAGGTTGCAAGTACTGTCGTTTATTACATTGTGAGAACTATACATTTAAACCTGCAATTTCTTCCTTATTTAATGATAGTAAGAGATTCAAGATATGAAAAAAAATTAAACGCTACGGAATGACTTGCAAAGTTCATTCCAAATTAAGTATCAGAATCCTGCCTAGTTACTTCTCTGATTTATAATTTTCGAGTTGTGATTGCAAAAAGAGGAACATTTCCTTAAAGGGTGGGTCGCCTTTTTATTTGCGTACGCTCCGATCAAGTAGGAGACACCGAATTTACATACATTAATTTATTATTTACATTAATAATTTATCATTTATTTAATTATCCGTTTTAATTCTAAAAATAAAAATGAAAAGCAAAAGGGAATTAAATTTTTTTTATTGAAACTCCAATTACGAACAATATATGTAAAAAATGAAAAGCAAAAGGGAAAAAAAAACATAAAAATAATAATTAATCTTCTTATTATATTTAATTATCCGTATATATGTAAGAAATGAAAAGCAAAAGGGAAAAAAACATATAAAAATAATAATTAATTACATTATTATTTATTTATAATTATCGGTTTTAATTCCCATTTAACATTATTATTTATTTATAATTATAGGTTTTAATTCGCATTTACCATTATTATTTATTTATAATTATCGGTTTTAATTCGCATTTACCATTATTATTTATTTATAATTATCGGTTTTAATTCGCATTTAACACTATTATTTATTTACCTACGCTCCGATCAAGTAGGAGACAAACTTCTCAACTTCTAACCACGCAGCAGAAGCGAAGAAAAATGGTCACGTGACCTTCAATATGAGCACACAGAAGTTTTCCCTAAATCCCTCCCGATACTCCGGATTCTACAGTAACCTAAACGTCAGCAGAAAGTTGTCGAGGTGGGTAGCCCGGGTTTGGCGGAAATCGCCACCACCACCGGCCGCCGTAGCGAGGTCGCCAAGAGCCGGTTATCCGAAAACTGCCGTGCCTGCTGTACAAAGATTTCACTTAGCAAATATCTTAATGCCAGCAAAGTACTTCATACAGCTAATGAGTTTTAGCTGTTTAGACTAGAGGTGAATGATTCGATTCACTCTGGAATTGATTTAAAGAACTAATTCAGCGAATGAACACCGATTCCAAAAAATGGAATTAAGTGTTTTTGCTATTCACAGGAGCTTCTTGTTGGAAGGATGCCAGGAAATATCGATTTTAGGAGAGGAATGTTATCCTCTCGTGTTAAAAGTGAGTTCAGTTTTGACCATTTCCCAACTTTTTGAAAAATTTAATTAAAGTCCTTTACTATTAGTTTTGTGTACTAATGAGATTTTAGGAAATCTCAAAATGGCAGTCAAAAGACATCAATTTGAGTACTTGGCCTTTAATTGAGTCTATTCTTCCTATCCCACTGCTTGTGCAATTCTTCGTGGTTTTCGCTGCATCCTCAGTATCTGCCCAATTCACGTCCTGGCGTTTTTCATCAAGATTATTATTAGAGTTGTGAGAAGTATTAGAGAACCATTTTAATTCAGTGAGCGAATGGTTTTGATCTAGTCCCATTAAAGAGTTAGTTTGCAGATCAATAGTCTAGACAGGTACGTAGTACACAATCTGCATTAATAACGTATGTGCCATGTATTAAGAATTCAATTTTATGAATGTGGTTATGATGAAGTAAACATATTTTGAAAACAATGATACAGAAAAAAGTGCTCAATGTGTTCTGAACCACATTGCTGTTAAATTTAACTGTGTGAAGTAGAAATCTAATTATTATATCACTTGTTCTTTTCTAGGTTGAGTAGAAGATACCTAGGTGTATCTTATGGAAGCCACAGTAAATTATTGGTAATCTCAGGCATTTGTGATGGCTCAAACATCAAAGTTGTTATAATCAGTCATAAGTGGCTCGTAAACTTGATGTAGGGTTTATGATTTAGGAAGTGCTTGCGACTTCCAAGGCTGTTTTAGTTGCCAGTGATTTGTGTGTAAAGGCTGCTGCTCAGAAATACCCATCTATGCTTTTTTCAAGATCCTCAGGGGAATCTACATGTTGAAGGTTATTTAAGGTCAGTCAGTGGATCACCAGTATGAGGCAAAACAGTAAATTTAGATAAAGCTATAAATTAAAATTATTTGGAAGTACAGTTATATCCTAGTAAGGCTGATACTGACGAAGTGGCAGCTGATGGTTATAATGTGACCTACAGACTGAGGACCATTGATTACCAATGAATCACTGGTATAAATCAGTGCCGTAAATTCAGATCGATTTTTTAACAGGGTTGCCACGCTATCTGGAAAACCGGAAAAAGTCAGGGAATTCGAAAATTGACCAAAAAGTCGGGGGGGAATATTTTGGTCAAAATCTGGAAAAGTTGGGGACTGTCATGTGGTGATCCCCAAAAATGTGACGACGTCAGAAATGATCACTGTTCGAGAATTATGTATCGTGTATTCGGGCAGCTGGCATATAGCCAATTTTCGCAGCTCCAGTCAGATTGTCTTTTAGAAAAGCCTGACTTTCAGCATCTTTGGTTTCCAGTAACTTCGAGAATCAAGAGAGTACAGTGCATGTTGAACTAAAGAAAATGGCTTCCCATTCTCCTATAAAACAAAATAGGTTTAATCCAAGTATACGGTACCCCGAAGGCTTGAAAAGCCTGCATGTACAGGATTTGGCGACATTATGAAGAGCAGTGATAACATGCCTCTCTGTTTCGACAATTTTGCAAAATCGTGCCAAAACTGTAGCATAGACTAGCTTTTTTAGACCAGGATCTTTTAAACATTTTTTTCCTTTGTAATAAATGTCTTCTTTTTTTATTTTGTAGTCAAATAAAATAATAATCAATCATCTAAGCTAACAATTTAATATAACTATGTTCTCCGAAATATTGTTGGTTATTTGTTATTGTAATTCAGTTTTTAAGTAATTAATTTTAATATTATTCATATATTTTAATATTGTTTCTTTCTTCTAAATTTATTTATTATAAGTTAATAAGACTTTCAAAATTTCAGGCAGTTTTCTCTGCCATAATTCTGAAACTAATTCTAGCAGTATGATATACTATCACGAAATTTAATGAACATAATTTTTGTTTATGAATCTGCTAAATAAATACAAAATACCCAAATTTATTTTAAAATATCATTAAATAGATTTCTTTTTGTTTAGCTGCAAAAGAAGTCATTTTTTAATTCAGATTAAGCAGATTCTACTCAATTTTCAGTGGAAAGAAACAACTTTTATAGTTTTGATAGTAATGTGTAGAGGATTTTGGAAAATTTTTGTGTTTTCGAATGGTACCATTTGTTCCCATGCCATCTTTGGGATAAAGTTTAAAAATTGGGACAGCTTGGGAAAACCTTCATGCCAGTTTCTGTGGCATTGGTGAGAGGTCTAGTTGCTTAACAGCAGAGTAGTTGTGACCATCATGTAAATAATTAATAGTATGGCAATGTTGTCTTGTAGTTTTGTATCTGCTTATGAGACTTTTTATCATAAAGTATTGGTACTTGCTTATTAACACAATTAATTACCTTTGCACAATTTCTTGATGTTTTATACATGAAAAGAAAAAAATGCATAAACCAGTGTTATAGCTATTCATCATGACTTGTCGATTTTGGTGACTATTTGAGAAAATTATGAAACTATTAATATTTATCTTAAGTTGGTGAGCATTATCAACATAAAAAAGAAAATATGAAACACATTTTAGGAATATAAGATACAAATTTGAACTATTTAGTAAGATTTTCCTGTGAACTTCGATTCCAATATAACTATTGAATATGTACACCCTGATAGGAGAAATCGTTCTTTATGAAATAAACATGACTGTTATTTAAAAGGTGTATATTTTTATTTTAAGTATTTTTTAAATCGTATTGAAAATTTTTGTTAGAAATAAAATTACAATCTGTGAAAGACTAAGGTCTTATTTGCCTAATTTTAAACTTTACATTGTCATCTTCCAGTGAGAGAAGCCCTCGTAGTATTAAGTTTAGGAGTACAGCATCAGTAAAATAATTTCTGAACTGTGTATAAATGAAGTTTTGCATTTAAGACATTTTGAACAGTTCATAAATGAGTTTCTGCCTTTTTGTAATTAGAATGTTCTAAAAGTTTCTATTTATATATTTCTGGTTATATTTATATTAAATTATTTTAAGTCCATCAGTGTTTTGAAGGATATTTTTCTCATTTTGTAATATTATCAATTAATCTACTCTGCTGTTAAGCAACTAGACCTCTCACCAATGCCACAGAAACTGGCATGAAGGTTTTCCTAAGCTGTCCCAATTTTTAAACTTTATCCCAAAGATGGCATGGGAACAAATGGTACCATTCGAAAACACAAAAATTTTCCAAAATCCTCTACACATTACTATCAAAACTATAAAAGTTGTTTCTTTCCACTGAAAATTGAGTAGAATCTGCTTAATCTGAATTAAAAAAAATGACTTCTTTTGCAGCTAAACAAAAAGAAATCTATTTAATGATATTTTAAAATAAATTTGGGTATTTTGTATTTATTTAGCAGATTCATAAACAAAAATTATGTTCATTAAATTTCGTGATAGTATATCATACTGCTAGAATTAGTTTCAGAATTATGGCAGAGAAAACTGCCTGAAATTTGAAAGTCTTATTAACTTATAATAAATAAATTTAGAAGAAAGAAACAATATTAAAATATATGAATAATATTAAAATTAATTACTTAAAAACTTCAGCCTACGGTACAGTAGTTTTTCTATTTCCTTTTTAAAAGAAATATTTAAATAACTTATGATTGTACATAACCTTGGCATAAGAATTTATTACATATTGCAGAGTAACTATTGAACATGCCAGAGGATCTCCGAGAGGAAATGACGTATACAGAGATAGAAACCGGGGTTATCGAGCTCCAATGCAAAATCGTCGCCGCCAAGGTGGAGGACGGGATAAGTAAATATTTTATACTGCTATTGATATAATTTATTGCAATGCCTTCAGTTCTATTCATTTTTGTCAAATTTTTCTTTTGAATCTTTTCCACTTTTACTGAAGGTACGGCCCACCCACGAGGACAGAATACCGACTAATCGTAGAAAATTTGAGCAGCAGAGTGAGCTGGCAGGTATGGGTAGCTCTAACAGTTGCTTTTTTTTTTTTTTCCCCTTGTCTTTAATATTGCACACTTTCTTAAAGGTTAAGCTAATTTTAAAAGTTTGTTTGCTATAACTGTGTGACATTTAAAAGAATTTAATGAATTTTTTAATATTTAAGTATTTATAATAATAAATAGCTTTAACCTGTTAATTTTTTCAGATTATCTTATAGGGCAGCATGCACCAGATTTCTTTTTAAAGGCAGATGTTTCAGTTTAATACAGTAAAAGCCAGACTATCCGGCATTCAACTAACAAAAATATCTTAGAATGTTAGGAAAGAGTTTCTCAGAAAAATGTAATAGATAATATTTTAATTCCAAATTCCGTTATATAGCTCATAATATTAATATATATATATTGTTTCCAAATAGTGCAGTTTGTCACAACTAAAGCATGACATCTCATCAGTCACAAGTTCATTTTGGTTTACTGTAAACTCTATTAATTCTTGGTAAGCCTTTAATTTTTGTGAAGAAGGATATACATTCTGTTTTTTCTTTGCATCATGAAAAAATGATTAATATTTTGGATAGGGTATAGGTAGAGAAATAGGCAGGACACCCGAAGTTCACCACTTGGTGAATACGTATTGTTTTCCTGTGCTAACTGTGTAGTTCACCGCAATTTTTAGGGAGACCATCTCAGGAGGGAAAGCTCTCCAGGGATCTCCCACCCGTCTTCTACTGACCTCTTGAAAGGATTTGCGTCCTGCCGTTTATTTTGGGTGACCTTTTTCCACACAGATGCAATACGCTTGCAAGCGTTCATGCCTTCTCCAGTATCGGAACTTGTGCTTATCGGTATGGCAGCTAGTATTATTAAAAAGCAGTGTACTATCTGGTTGGCAATGTATATATTTGGGACAGCACAAACTAAAGTATTTTAAAAGTTATGGGATCTAGGCATAAAAGAATCCACGATATGCTACTCAAAAATTGGATAGTCAATGTATGTAATGTGAAAAATTTTGATTATATCTAACTTGCATCTCCAAAATCTCAGTAAAATATAGTCTGTTGTTTAAAATTCTGCAACATCACCACCAACTTTTATGTAATATAACAGTTGTCATACTTTCATGTTAAAGGCTTATAAATTACATTGGCTTTTATATCTGAAATGCATGTTTATAATTTTAAGTAGAGGCTCTTGGTGTTCAAGCTTGTAACAAATAAGATGATTATTTTTATAATTTTAGGGCAGAAATTTTTCCCATTTGTATACCTTTTGTAATACAAATTCTATTTTTTTAACACTCAACTATCCACAATTTGGCATTTCCTGAGCTTTCCGGATGGTCAGGCTTTTACTTTTCCTCCAACAACAGAATATACTTTCCTCGTCATATCATTTCGGCTGCACGGTTGAATTTTTCTAAGCACAACATTTCTTAACTCTCTGACTGCTTAATTTTTTTATTCACATTCCTTCAAAAATTTGTGTTTCAAATCTACATGTATTTGAGAGTTAAAATATTCAGCACTTTTTTGCTACCAAAATTTTTTCGATACAGATTTCATGAAAATCAGTTTTGAGAGTAATCTCACAAAGACAAATTTTCTGAAGAAGAATCCTGATAAAATTATGGTTTACTTTATAGAATACAAATGTACAGTATTTATGCTAATAAAAATATTCAATATTTGCACAAATTACACTAAGTTAGGTAAATTTCAAAACAAGGTTCCAGCAATTCACATTCTTTGTGCCAAATTCATGTATCTTAATTTTTTATAACGGCATACTGTCTGCAAAGCATTTTTTTTCTTTTTATGAGATTAGGAGGTGTGTGGCAAGCTGAATATAAAAACAATACTAGGCTAAGCATTTGCAAAATTAGTCACAAAAAAGTCAGTATGGAAATTTAGGTGACACTAATGCCATTTCTTAACCAAAACATGATTCAAAATTCTAAATATTTTAGAAGATGTGATTAAGCAAAAGAAAAAACTGGAAACTCTTTTAAATAGAGGGAAGCAAATTGCAGCAGGAGCACATATTCTTATTCCGTGTTGTCCGGGAAATTTGTGGAATTGGCAGTCAGAGAGTTAAATTGGATAATTCAACAAATAAAGATAAAAGCAAAACAACTTATTGGGTGAATCATACCTAGTAGACAGTGCCAGTTATTATATGCACCAGTTGACAAAACTTATGGATGGCCACTTGATATGAAAAGCAGGTAACGGTTGTAGACCAATTGGAAAAAATTGGTATTGCCAGAATGTTAAGTATTACATGAAATCAGTTTTATTGTGCATCTTATAAAGATAAATTGATAGAAATGATGATTATTAGCTCACAGTCCAGATGTACAAAGAATGCCAGTTATCCACTGTCATGAAGCTCTCCATAGAGAGATGCCAATATAGGATATGGCCACTGTAAAATATAATGCAAATTTTCATTTAATATCTGCTTATAGCACCCAGGAGCTGTTAAGGCAAGTTGTGCATTTTTGTTACATGCAGAAGTATGTTTTCATATGTTGGAGGATATTCTTGAGCAGCAAGACATCACCTGAAGCATCCCAATCAATTTTCGCTGAGATTTATATCCAAGGAGCATAATGTCCATTAAAGTGTTGATTTGATTATCCTTGCTGTCAAGGCAACGTGCATGATGATATGGCGCATAGCCTCAGAAATGGAAAATCATATCAAAACTATCATTAGAGACAGCAGACCTTCAGTAATATATCGAGTACTGGCCCAAGCACTTGTACTGGTGTGCAGCCTCTGAACATTATGTCCTATACACCGATGCTACAAAAACCATATCATTCCCTGTATTAGTTATTTTCTGCACGATAAGCATTACTCATCATCGTTTGGCCAGATGAATCGGACAAAAGGCTGAACTGACTCTCATCCGAGAAGAGCATGCATGCTGATGAGATACCAGTGACACCATTGCTAATACGTGAACTCTTCGATGTTGAGATGCAGATCAGCATTTAGACATAATCCTTGTTACAAAGTTTTTTTCAAAAAATCTTGAACATGAAATTAACTTCCCACCTTCATCGACAGTGGTAAGAAAATTTGTTTTGACTGTGTCAGTATACCTGTCTTTGTGGGCCATCTCACTGGAAGGACAACCTCCTTGTGTGCGGCTGCTGCGAATTTTACTTGCGTGAAAGAGAAAAAGGAGTATTTGTGAAAAATCATGATAAAATAGCTACATTCTTTCAAAACCAGGAAACTGCATAGTGGGCAATACAAATTCTCCTCCAACATTTCATATTTGCTGTCCTACCATCTTTCTGATAAGACATCCAGATGCAGATTCCTGCGAGTTGTATATACATCTTCGCAAGTGCCAATTGACTGCTTTGTTTTCAAGTTCTCACTTTCAGCTGTAACTGCGTGTTTACACCATGCATCTTAAATCACTCAATTGTCACGAGGCCGCATGTATGCAAAAAGCAAATTTTACTGATTATGCTTTGCTCTGTACTATGCAGATTTCATCCCTACATCGACAGTGACATCCTTTTTTTTTGTCTGCTAGTGTATCTGCTGCAGGCAATTGGTGCATGTTGTCCTATACAGAAATTTTTCCTTTATTTAAAAACATTAAATTTATTTAAAGCATTTTAATAATTTGCATGATAGTTTTCAGCAAATAATTCCGAATATAATGTTGCTCAGCAAAGCTGTCTAAAAATTGTCCATTTCTTTCATAAGTTACCATCCATCCATCCAGCCCGAGATCCGGTAAAGGGTTGCGATGTGCGCTAAGGGGTGAAGCAGGCAGGTCCTGCTTATCGTCCTTCCATCAACCTTCGTAACGATGGGACCACTCGTTGTGGCGCTACCAATCAGTCGACCCGTTGGACCGTGCGATGAATCTCGGATGAAATGCACTGTGGTTGGATCTAAAGGCAAGCCAGAGGCTTATTGCAACCATTAAAATACATCTTTTTATGACCTAATGGAAGCTAAGTGCCCTAGCACAGCATGTTCTGGGTTTCACCAACCCACCGGTGTCGGGCAAGTGTGATCGATGTGTGGTGGTCGTCCCTACGGACGATATTCTTCCTACCTCTTTCTACTTGTAGACGTCACTGTTTTGTCATTCAGGTAAAGCATTGATTTTGGGTTTGTTTTAAAAATAATTATTATTTTTTCAAAAAAATTAAATTTCAAATTAATATTAGAATATATTTAGATATAATATTTTTTTATTTTGAAAAAAAACCTTTTTTTGTTAATGTTAACATTTGGAGTTTGGACGAAGCCATTCTGGATTGATTTCAATGGACAAAGTGAAAGGACGATGCTCATCGAGATAAAAGGTTGAGTGTTCAGATATAGTTCCAGTGAAGCTTTTGATTATCTCGAATGGATATCTGATAAGTACATGGAAATGCCATTTAAATATCGTTTGAAAAGTAGTTGCGAAAAAGATGGAGAAAGTGTTTTCAGAAAGACGGACGTCAAAGATGACTCAGAACGATTACGGAGTGATGAAGATGCTTAAAATATTCTAAGAGTCTTGCTGCCTGACATTGAAAATTATTAAAAGCTCTTCTGATATAAATCAAAGAAGAAAGCACTTGTATATGCAGTATGGAAGTGCCACGTTATGAGCAGCTTTTTTATCATGTTGTAATTAATGTGAAGTGTTTATTAATTGCCATCTCCAGTTTTTAAAAATAAGAGACTAATAATATTATATTTAAATAGTTCAGATGTAAAATGTTTTGTGTTTTAGTTAAATTTTATGTTTGTATTTTACACATTAGAATTAATATATACATGTTTATTGTTTAGGATCTCAAAGATTATATGCGGCAAGCCGGTGAGGTAACTTATGCAGATGCCCACAAGCAGAGGCGTAATGAAGGGTAAGACATATACATATTTTACTGAAGTTGGTTTGTGATATATTTTTAAACAGTTTCAAAACAGATTTTGTCTTTGAAAACTGAATTCTCAGGGGTGCATATGCATGAACATTTAATGCTGCGTGGGGGGAATGCATAAAAATAACAAGCACCCTCAAAACTGAGAATGATCTGAAAACTGCTGAATTGCATCTTTAGGTTTAGTTTCAAGGATTACCTTATATAGTTCATTGTTCGTGTTCAATTTTTGTTTGATTGCTGGGATTATTTTTTTTGTTCCATACATATTTTCGTGCTATCATTTTAGAAAATTGTTTTAAAATTATAAACTAAAAATGAATATGAAGAACACGTTAAATAATCAGTGCAAGAATGTTGTATTAACCTTAAAACAAAAGCTTTTATCAAATAAATGCATACTCGTTATTTTTTGTTTCTTGCATATTTTGTTTTCCTTTTAAAAATTGATACAAGTACCAAGTGGAAGAAGATTATTTTAACTTTGAAACAAAAACACACTTTGATCACAAGATTTGCCAAAAAATTGGAAATTTAAAATTCTCCTATGAGGTTGATAAGAAAAAACATTGAGAAATAATTCAATGACGAATTCTACTGGTCAAGCTTTCAGTACTCGAGTGATATGGATTGTTCCAAATGCCGCAAGAACAGAAGTAGAGAGTAATACTGAAAGTATAAACGAAGGTACCGACAGTTACAATGGTCTCAAGAGAGCAATAACTTTTGTCGAAACTGTTGCAGGAAAAGGGATTTGAATACAGTAATATATATCAAAACTGGACAGTGATATTCAACAGTTATTGAAACATTCAAAAAACAAAGTAAAATTACCGAGTTTTTAAGAAATAAACACATGTAATATGCATGAAAATTTATAATTTGGATTATCGGTGTTTTTGAATTGACCATTCGTTACATGCCTTCAGCTGACATTAGCTTGGATAATCGAGTGTACACGGTGCATCAAAGTGTAGGAGGTTATACAATACAATACTCTAGTTCTTTGATACATCAATTCTTTTCTTAATTTTTGTGTTTTTTTCTTTTACTTTGATGTATCCAGAAACATCGTAGAAAGATTTTTTTACTGTATTGTTGAATCTAAATTTGAGCAGCTTTAATCTGTTTAGTTCATTGATTTAGATGAGCTTATTTCATTTACTGTATTTTTATCACATATCCCCCCTTTCCTTATTTTTAGCTTCCGTTCTTTAGAAATATTCGTAATTTCCCACTTCGTTAGTGCAATCAGATAATTGGTTTTGGTCTCTCTCACGAATACAAACACTCACAAACTACCTGTGAACCTTTCTTTCTTATTGTTGAACTTCTTGCCAGCCTAATACATGAATCAAATCATCATGTTGAAGCAGACACCAACTGAATTTGGTATACGATTTCACAAAGTTTGCTGCTCATTGACCTTTTCTAATTATTTATAGATGTTTGATGGCCTTGAGGAGTGAAAGAAATGATAGTAAGAATAGGCAGGCTTGAAGTTCATGGAAGTAGAAATCAAGCCTTCTTATTAGATATTGTTATTGGAATGTGGGTTTCTTTAAAAAAAATATTATAATTACCTATTGTTTTCCATCACTACTTTTCAATTGTACTTTCTTTCTGTAACTGTATTCTTTAGAAATAAGATTATTCACATAATTTTTCCATCTGGATTTTCAGATAAAATTTAAAAAAAAAAAAAAAAAAAAAAAAAAAAAAAAAAAGGTAAATATTGATCATTTTAACCAAAATTTTTCTTCCTTTTCTTTTTAGAGTTGTAGAATTTGCTAGTTTTTCGGATATGAAAAACGCTATTGATAAGCTAGATGACACTGATTTGAGTGGTCGACGTATCAAGCTTGTCGAAGACAAATCGAGACGCCGACGGTGAGTCATATTTTCTTGTAGATACCATTCTTTATTATTAATTTGAAAATGATAATATTCCCATTTATGCGGAAAGTTAAGGGAAGTATAGACTTTTTTCATAAAGTCAAAAGTTGAAGGTTGTGAGAAATTTTATTTTAGGCAACATCTAGCCTCTGAAACAGTGAAAAGTTTGCTTCAGATTAATAAATAAAAAAATTTAATGAAAATGGCTTCTGTTTCGAAAGAGCAGGTAAATTATTACCTTTAAATTTCTCTTACAGAGCATGTTTTACCCACATCGTATCAGATAACAATGATTCTCTTTTCAGTTTATTATTAAACTATTATTCCTGTTGTTAGAAATGTAACAAATTTATAATACTCTGCCCTCTGAAAGTGCGATTTTATTTTATATATCCTTACGTTCACATCACTGAGTAATGCATGCAACTAATGATAATGAACATTGTGTATAAGACACTTGTATACATGTTATTTAAGTACAGTCAAATATGTATTGAAAGGATTACGAATATGTAGGCACTGTATACTGTACTTTATTACAAAGTAAGTAATGCAACAAATATGTCATAAAGTGCTGTCTCTGTCATACATGCAAAAGTAAAGGATTCAGGCATTTTGGGCCTAAAAATGTAGTGTGAATTCTTTATTATTGCAGAATATAATGTACAGTACAAAGTCCGAAATCCGGACTCGTCAGGACTTCGGTGATTCCGGTTTTGGGTTTTTTCTGTATTTTAGACCATCAGTTTAAATCTAGTAAGATAGCATGTAGAAATTATAAAATTTAAAATATGACATAGTAATTTATGAAATAATGAAGTATTTATTTATGATCTAAAGGGTATCAAAATTTACAAAAAAAAAAAAAAAAGCTTAATATTTGTTTGTTTCCCTTATAAACATTTCTTTCAATGTAAGTTATTTTTTGTGCTAATACTTTCTCTTTAATTCTGTAGACAGACATAATTCTTGTTCAGGTACATTGTTGGAAGTCCTGCAACTGCTGTGTCAAGAATTCTGACTAACTTGTCAATCGAGATTTTTTCGTTTTCAGCAACTTCTCTGTCACTCACTTCACTATTGGTAGCGGTATTTTCTTGATCTAGAACCATACTACAGATTTCCCCATTCATTAATTGATTGATGTGATAAGCATTGTCATCGCAATGAAAAACTTCTTTTATGTCATCTTCATTGCTTCTCGACATTTCTTTACAAAATCTGTTAATTGGAAAATTTCACTTTTGTTTTGCAATATGAAAACCTTTAAAATTAGCAGCTATCATCATCAAATTTAGCTATCCTTCACTATACATATTTGGCTATGAATCATGAGCTTGGCAACTAACGACAAGTTCTGTTAAATTTTATCTTGCTACTAACGTGCACTGAGACAATTAAGCCAGAATCATATTAATTTAGTTATTTATTATACTTATATGTATTTTTTGCACATACTTAAGGCTTATCAGAGTTCTGAGTAAATTCCCACATGTACTAAGCCTTATTAAGGGCTGGCACTAGATATCTTACCGCCTCTGTGGGTCCTAAATTCTGTGACTTGGTGCAGCCATATGAGACCTGATGCTGGTTCTGGGCTTATATGAATAACAAATTAGTTATTCTTAATTGACATAGCCCCAAATGTAATGTTTAGGTGTACAATTATCATCAACAAAATCTATTTTTAGCATATGGAACGAAATTTTTGTTAAATTTTCCCTCGTTAACATTTTTTAGCGCATTTAACTTAAATCTGTAGTCATTGGCAAGCACAATGTCTACATAAAAGGTAACCATACTTCTTTTATTATTCAATTACTAAAAGCCCGTTTCGATTAGTGCGTTGCGAATGCATAGCGTCATTGGGAGAAACTCGGAAGACTGTTTACACTATTGCGTTTTATTTACGCATATGGAAGTTCGGTGGTTGATTGCATTTATTGCTACCAGATGTCTCTATTTAAATTATGGGATTTGGATTCTTAAGATATTTAAATTCCATGTTATTGGAAATTTTTATTTCTGCTTGTGAACTGTGAAAGTAAAGTACGCTAGCAAATTTTAGGTAAGTAAGGTTATAATGCATATTATAAACATCACTAATTGCATAGAAGCTGAAGTAAATTTTTTTAAATTCTTTGCGTTTCTAGAAGTTTTTAAATATTTAAATTATAATTTCTAGTTTTTTAAATATTAAATAATATATATTATTAAAACTAAAATGTACTGTTACTGAAAAAAATAAAATTAAAAAAAAAATAAAAAAGAAACAAATTAAAAAAATAGTTGGTACTTTAAAAATACAGACCAGCTGTAAAGAAAGGTTCACAATATTTATGCAAAATTTGCTATGCTTGTATTCTGCTGACTGCCTTGTGAGATTGTATATCTTTAAAATATGCCCAAATTTAGGGAGAATCTATTTCTTCATTTTTAATTTCTTCAAAGTCATAGCTGGATAATTTATTAGAAATCTCGTTTGCTTTAAAATGTACTATGTGCAGTTATATTTTATGCATAGTCCATAAAATATTATTTTTAATTCATATCTCTTTATAGAAGTTATAAAAATAAGCTTTTTCACCTTATATATATATATATTATATAAAATATTAGGTAAAGAAAATGGATTATTTAAAAATTTTCCTGCGCTTCTGCTGGAGAGGCCTGAATTTAAAAGCAATTATTATAGTAAGTTTTTAAAATATGTTTAGGACTTAATAATACTGTCTCATGTTAATTAATAGTGAAAGTTTAGAGTTAGAAACATCCCAAAACCTCGGCACATGTATGTACATTCACATAAAGTGAAACAATATATATATATATATATATAATATATATGTACAGCGAGTATGCTTTAAATTTGTATTGTATAATTTTTTGCATGGAAAATTTAAATAAATAAGAGCATAATGAAACATTATATTTTATACATATAATAATAGAAATAAATTATAAAACACAAATATATATCAAATTGGAACAAGAAGCTAAGAGAGTTCCAGACAGAGTAGAAATCGTGTAAGGGATCTGACTCGCGACCCCAAAAGTTAACCATGTTACTGTCAATTTTATCACTAAGGTATCATACAGGCATGGTATGCAGTTTTGGCTTATATACATCATCAAGTAAATGAATTCTTAAGACTAAATTTTTGTCCTATTTCAGTTAAATTTATGTCCTATTTCAGTGTGTAATTGTCTGAAAAATTCACCAGAGTTTGTTCTTCAGCTTCTATGACATTTCCGTACTATTCAGTTTTGAGGACCGTAAAAAAAATTGCCATGAAAATGTATGCGCAAAAGCGCCAAATCTAGCAAACGTGCCCATTTAACAGAGCGCTAAATCTAGCATATGCGCTGATTTCAAATTGCATAAGATAGTTCTGTATTACTTAAGATGCTGTTGAAATGCTAGTTTTAATTTTTAAATCCTTTTTTGATAACGCTAGGAATTTTAACAATTTGGGAATTGCCCAGTGACGAAAGTACAATAGAATTTTTTCAAAGAAAAGGCATCATTCATTCTAAAAAATTATGTTTGAACAACCAACGAGATGAAATTGTGCTGTAGCGAAATAGCGATTCAGGAATCTATTCAATTATGTTAGCCTTTATATAAATTATAATAATACAAAAGTATTATATGAAATTAACATTTATTCTAAATGAAAACAATATTAGATAGTTATTTACTATTGTACTTCCTTTCTTGCACTAGGGTTGCCGCAGTTATTTTTAGCAGCACTAGCATCAACATTTTTTACGGTCCTCAAAACGGAATAGTACCGAATTTTCTTACAAAAAAACATTGGCGTTCTGATTGAAGTTAAATGAGCTGCTAAAAATATATTCCATGTGCTTACAAATATATGTTAGCCGAAAAGGTATATTTATAAATAGAAAAATGCAAATTTAATATACTCTGTAATTCAGTGGGATGTTTAAAAGACTGTCGAAGTTAATTTATAATTAACATTTTTAGTTTTTACCTGTTTCAAAAGGGAAAAAAATAACAAATCTTGTAATGCCATATCTGATTTGCTATAGCAGTTTGATATAGAACTGGTGCTGTACTTGCAGTTATCTTATTTTTTTTAACTAAATTCAGCTGATTGCTGTTTTTTTTTTTTTTTTTTTTTTTTTTTTTTTTTTTTTTTCAGTACACAGATTTCTTGCTATAATGTTAATTCTTAAATAAGTATTTTTTAGCAAAACATTCTTTTCCTAAGCCAGCATTCATCGCTATTTCTGCCACTATTGATTTTTGGTGACACCTGATTACTCCTTTTTTTAACCACATGACCCCTAACTGATCCACAGACATACGGATAGAAGTTGAACTTCATCCGTCCATCACCACACATCAACCGGATTACAGATGTCAGTCAAAGTAAATTCGCTTGCTGATTGAGGAAGCGCATAATGGGCCTTAACATAAAAAAATTGTTTAGGCATTGCTACATGAGTCATTACTCAAGTTGTCATGCTTTGATAAACATGCAGTGATGAAACGAAGTATAATAAATAATGACTCGCAAGGTTGGCATCAGATCAAAGATGTATCTGTGAGGAATGTTTCGGCTTGAGATGTGTGACAAGCACATATGAAGCAACGGAGCCAAATTACTGATCATACAAATTTATGCTAAAATGATTTCTTCAATAGCAAGGTATTTTATTTAGTGTTGAAGTGAAATTAAGAATTGGGACTCTTCGGATGTTGTATTATGTGCGGAGGGGGGGAATGAAATGCGCATGCGTAAAGTCTGCGAGAAAAATATTTTTGGTGGTTTTGAGGTTCAGATTTTAGATCATTCCGGAATTCGAACTTTGTACTGTATTAGATGTTGCCGGATATGATCACGATTAGTTATTTCATTATTGTTATTGCTTTGCTAGTGTCCAGTTTTTCATATGAAGAAATATAGAAAATACTTGCCATATTATGGTAAACAATTTGGTTAATGTGATAATATTGTAAAATAATTTTTTTTTAACTGAAACAAAGTGCCCAGATAATTTTAAGATGTATTCTAAAAGTAGTTGCAGAAAAATATCTCATAGTGATGGATTAAGTCACCAAAGATCTTGGTTCTAATTTTAATCAGCAATTTTAGGGGAAAAAGTGACCTTAGTTTGATAACTTTGTTCTTTATTTCTCTTTCTGAGGATGTCAAACATAGCTTGTTCTGCAGTTGGGTTATTAAAAAATTAGTTCAGAAATATCTGCCATGTTTTCTTTTATCTTTGACTGCCCCTAAAATAGAAAAAGGGATGAGGGTGCACGGGAAAGTTTAATTGGTTATTCTCTTAAGGAATTACCACCACCTTGTCATATAATAAAATCTTTCCGATAGTCTAATCCTGAAGATAACGAAAAGTGGTCATCTGACTCCTATTAGACATTCATTTAAAATAATCAAAAATAGTGTTATTTTGGAACAGAACAACAAAAGGAACATTGCCAGTTGATGTTCTTATAGTCCACACACAAAAAAGAAACTTCTCCTAAAACAATTCCTGTATTTTAATGGGGAACCTTGAAGTTAATGCTTTAGTTTACAAAAAAAAAAAAAAAAAAAAAAAAAAAAAAAACACTTGTGTATTTTCATTGAAAAGCTTGAAATTTTCCATTTTAAAGTCTTTTGTATAAGTCGCTATGTTGTTGTACCTTAAAACAAATCTTTAGCTGTGATATATTTTCATTTCAGATCCAGGTCGAGGTCTAGGTCCAAGAGTCATTCTCGTTCTCACAGCAGGAGCAAGAGTCAAAGCAGAAGCAAATCCCGTTCCATGTCGAAGTCAAGGTCCCGTTCCAAATCTCGCTCCAAATCACGATCCCATTCCAAATCTCCTGTGAAGTCAAGGTCTAGCCGCTCCCAGAGCCGGAAGCAGTCGCGCAGCCGCAGCAGAAGTGCCAGCGAAGACAGGAATGACAGAAAGAGCCGAAGTCGATCCAAATCCCGCAAAAGTAGGTCCAGATCCCGATCTCGCTCTAAATCTTCGGAAAAACGTTCCGACTCTCCCATGCAGAAGGACGATGATGTCAGCAATTCCGCCGACGACAAAAATTGATCCAGACTGCCATTAGAAGGCTAAAATAAGCTTTTTAATTTTTACCTCAGGTGCATTAGAGGTTTAATATAGTGTGTTTAGTAAGATGTCCTTGTATTGAATAAAAATGTGGTCTTATGTCCTGCCGGGAGTTTCTTCACATTTGGAAGTGTTATTTTATCCTTTTTTGATGATTTTAGTTTTCATACCAACTTTCACAGAGACAAATGGACTTGACGTTTTTTGAGTGCTGGTGTGGATGCATGGAAACTTTTTTTAACCGATCTGTAATTTTTGGTTATGAAAAGAAAAGGTACTTATGTATTAATGCAACCACCTTGACACAAATGAGTAATTTTTGACAGGTGAGTTTGGTGGTTTTTGCGAGCTTTTTAAAAAAGCTTTGCAAATTATATATTTATTGTTAAGTTGGCAAACATTATCAACTCATGAAAACAAAATCTGCTTTATAATTTAAAATACAATGTTTAATTATCAGATAAGCATTATATGATAATGGGATAAATAAACAGGCTGCAGATCGTTCTAATTTTTTTTGCACTTTTCTTCTCTTAAAATACATAATGATCATATTCACTTAAAAAAAATAAGAGAATTGGCATATCACAAACACCAACCTTCTGCATTTTGTACCTTTTAGGCATTTTACAGTAAAAAATAATCCTTTTTTAAAATTTGGAATACAACAAAAATTGCATACGTAAATTCCCACTCGGGGTGGTTGCTATAACAGATAAGTGCTGAAGCAAGTTTAACCACTTAACTGTTTCATTTTCTTGCCATATTGTCACCGAAAATAAACATATTTTTTATAAACAATTTTGTAATTTAGTCGATTACATGAATTCAGATCAGCAGTCAAAAGTGTTACAAGTATTGCATTTAATAATTTTAGATATGGTGAAATTAAGGCATTTTTACTTAATTGACCTTTTTTTTTTTTGACAAAACTGGAAAGAACAGTTTACAGGAGTTATGTGTGAAAGAAGTAAATTTGGATGGAAGGAGGATTACTAGTTTACAAAGGTTCTGAACCTGAATTGGATCATCTGAGCTTTCTGTTTCCTCATCGTCACTAGGGAGTTCCGATTTAGAACTTAGGACTACCAGAATCATTTATAAAAAATTCAGATTTCCTGATCCAGTGTCAGAATTATATTCTGTTATGAGCCATTTACGGACCCATTGTTCATGACAAAATTGGGAAGAAATACTATTCCAATACCCTAAACACAGAAAACGTGCAAACAAACCTGCAGAATTTCTTTACGTAATGAAAAGTGATAAAAACCTGTCCTTGAACTGGTTTTACAAATCAGTCTCTCCTATATCCCTAGATGTCTATTAGAAACACCGCAAAGTAAAAAATGTGGAAAAGCCGGGAAAACCGCAAAGTAAAAAATGTGGAAAAGCCAGGAAAATACACTGCCTTTGAGTGGTGTGCGGGCAAATAAAAAATCTTTTTGCAGCACCCAAAACAGTTAAGTGGTTAACAAATATGATATTCTTTTTCTTTGCTTGTTATGATCAGTGTATCATTTCATTTTTATATTCATTGTGGTGTAAGTATTTTTCTTTCCAGGTAGTTATGTTTTTATCTGTGAAATACTCTTTGATGCACATTGTAAAATTCATAAAATTATGTAACACACGGTAATCTCTCCCTCCCTTGCAAGTACTGTATTTACCTAACTATATATGATTTCCTGAGAACAACCCAGATTCCATCTTTTTATTAATACTCAACTTCATATTTAAAGAATTGTAATTGTCGAGTAATTATTTTCACTTTTCTTGTATTCAGTGTCGGATACCTAAACCCTGCTTTTTAAAGCAGTTATGTATATAATATCAATAAAGTAAATTCCATAGAATGATTGTCTTTTTGAGTCACTAATATTGATTTGTTATTGGTTGTATTCAGATGATCTTATGAGGGATCTTCAAATATGATCATAAGTTTAATCTGATAAGATTTATTGTAGCTGCTAGTGTGTTGAACACATTTCCCAATAAGTTCATCAAATCTGTCTTTTTTTTTTTTTTTAAGGTTTTTTCAAAAGAAAAAGATCTCCCCCAATGAAATTTATTGAATTAATAAAACTTGTGTTGTATAAATTGTATTCCCTCACCCCCCTAGTGAATTAACTGAAAAATTTTCCTATTCAACAATATTTTGACTACTTGTATTATATATTTTTTGTAAGAAATTTTGTTTATATTAAATTTTTTGTATTTGTGATTCTTGGTCAGACCCCCCCCTCCCTGAATTCATTCTGTATCCTGAATTCAAAAATGCAAAACATGTTTATATATTCCCCCTCATGAAACTACTGGGGATAATGCATGCGATCTCCAATTTTTCCTAGCAGTGTATCCAAATTTTAAGTAATAAAATCTTTTATGGACATCAGAATGACTTCTTGTATGTCTCTGAAATTATATATGTTTATGCTGCACTTTATTTAATACAATGACTGCCATGGGGGTCGCCGGTGATGGTCACTCGGCTACAGAACTGTGGGTGCCACTGATGACTGCCCACGCGACCAATAGTAAAATACATAATTAGAGTAAATATGGATACTGATAAATTTTTAAATAGTAACATTGTTACTGTAATGGTTTGAAGAATGCACAATAATGGTCTACAGAGTCTTGGTGAGACACCACGAAAAATGCATTAAGCACGATTATGCAAGTTGCATTGTCTTCTGTAGATATTTCAACATAATATACATCGCATAATAAAATTTCCATTTGGTGTCATGGGCAAATAATCTGTAAAATGAGTGCTGCAGTCAACGTGTTAAACTTATTTCCTTTAAGTATTCTAATTTAACCAATCCCCAAGCCAAGTTGAAAATGACAAAAAATAGCTAATTTTGAAATGAAATATTTCATTTAGTTTTTGTTTTATAGGAGTCAAACATTTTCATGTTTTCATAACAAGCATAAGAATTTCCAAAATGTAAATTTAAAAACCAGGAGACTGCATTCAAAGTTAGATTTAATTATTTGTCCAAAATCAAGTTTTCTTTCCAAGTTTGAAATTACCAAAACATTAATATTTTCATTTTTCAAAACAGTTCTGTAATTGGAAGCATGTGTCCGGGTAAGGGACAAGATATATATTTAACTACATTTTTTAATTCTGCCAAATGCTATAAAAAGGGAAGTGCATACCTAGGTGTTATGTAGGTCCCATGATCGAAATTTTTGCATTCTACTGCCAATTGTTTTTTATTTATGAAAGATAGATTTGTGTACAGATTTCATGGAAAAAACTAACTGCGTAAAAAGAACTTTAAAGGTGTGCAAAAAATGTTGAATGGCAGCATAATGTGGTGTGAAAAATCTGCTGTATGTGCCAAAAATCACCAGTTTAAATTTTGTAGTTGGCAACTACAGCAAAGATAAATTTTAAAAAGTCTAGAATTTCTGAAAGTCAACTATGTTTTTATTTTAATCAACCATTTAAAATTAGCCAAAACATTTATGGTGCAGATTTTAAGAACTTTGTTCAGAAGGTATCAGTCGGGGCATTCTAAAACAAATCCAAGGGCCATCGTATAGTAGACTCTGAAAAACAAAGATGAAATTTGTGAATTACCTAAAAGAATCGCCCTCTGAGTAGTAACATTAGAGGTACAATAATATCAGGCTAATATTTTCTAGAAACTAGTCAAAAGTAAAATTTTGTGTGATGCCTTCAGGCAATCCATTACTAAAGAATTTTTTCTTAGTTACGGTGCTGTGAAAATAAGCATATGATGAATGAGTAAGTTTCTACTTGTATTAAGTTACTGTATATTTTCGACTGCAAGCCAATATTTTTTTTTTTCCAAAAATATATCCACAAGAGGACGAAAATGCATGCATTATTTTTAATTCAAATCTTTGTTATGTAAAACCCCAGATGAAAAAGACAGTAGCTAGCTAATTCTTCCCAGTCATGTATACAGTCTGTGGTGTCTGCGCTAGTCTTGTTTTGCCTAAATGATGAGAAATTCTTATATGGCAAATTTCAAACTGCAGGTGATCGATCACCTTTGATGAAACAATAGTATGGCTGCCTGAAGTTTTTCAGGTGTTTTCTTAAATGGAAAAGACATTTGAGAATGGATAAAGCAGAATGTAAATTTCAACGAAATCCGATTTTTCATGTTGCTGATGATGCACGAATAAACAACTTCAAAAATAAAACAACACATTTTCATAAACATTTTCATAAACAAAATAAAGATAGGTATTAGGTTACGATTGCTTGGTCATGGCCAACGGTAAAAGTATCTGCTATTTTAGCCCAAAGGGGGCAATTTGCTCAGAAGAGCTGTTAATTTTGCTTTGCAATTTTGTGTCGTACACTATAAAACTGTGTTTAACATATTAAATTATTGCCACCAAATATTAAACAGCCTTGCATTATATTTAAAGAAATTGAATAATCTGCATGAATGTATTGCATTGTGAAAAACAACGGTACCTAGAGACATCAAATTTTGAATAACGTAGACTTCCAAATTAAGGCCATCTTGAAGCCCAAATGTGGAATTTCTTTTATTATCTATTTCATATTTTGTCAGACTTAATTTTTGATTGACAAACTCAACGATTTCAAAGCGAGCAATGGCAACACTGTATGGGGGGAGGGAATCTCTCCAGCGCATGAGACTATCGGAAATTTTAAAGGTATCCTATTTACAAATTTTTTGTGATGTTGCTATTCAGTTTTTGGGTTTAAGTGAGAAGAGCATGATATTTAATAAAGGTAACCGACAAAACGTTAAAAAAAGGCTCCTTTGCGTATAATATAAAATCTGGAAGTTTTCCGTTTTTTACTTCCTTGTACGAAGTAAAAAGGAAGTATTGTAATCGCGAAAATTTCAGGCAGCATATTTCAACGAAAATATCCATTTTGACCGCTATCGAATGCAATTTAACGATGTTTTTGCGCGATATCTGTACGTAATGACAGAATAAAATACTCTTTTCCTTCAAAAAAATTATAAAACTGCTTTAAAATTAATTCTGAAGAGAATTTTTCGTGGCGTCTGTACGAACGTATGTACGTACGTATCTCGCATAACTAAAAAATGAGTAGCCTCAGAACATTGAAATTTTGTATATATAGGACTGCTATAACATGGATTTTATGCCGTAAACCTGTGTGCAATATTTTTAGAATTATCAGCAATTTTAAAGTTGTTTAATTGCCGCTAAGCTTTTTTTAATGGCGGCCATTGATGTTTACATTTGAAACAGGAGACTACTGGATTTGTTGCCAATCTAGAGAAACTTAGCTTCACAACAATAAAGATAATGCCTTCATTTATTATTTAAATCATGCTTAATCCTTTCTGGAATTTTTCCGAGGAAATAAGCGTTTAAGATTTACTTCGTAATTTTTAATATAGATATTTTGAGTTTTTATGTATTTTTGCCTTGTCGCGAAGAAAGAACTGAATTAATTAAATGAGAAATATTCAATCGTCTGTGAAAAACTGTTTCCTTTTGGTTTTATTTGCTTAATTTCTTTTATACATAGTTCTACCTTTATTATATTTGAATAGAACATGTGGCCAACTATTAGATAATTCTTCAATGATATACATTTTGTGCATCTGAGTTATAATAGAATGAATATAATACTGTTAAGTAAAACAAGAGTGTCGCTATGTAAACAAAGTGAATTTTAAAGAATGCATTTATTCTATTGGGTTTATGTGCTGTCGGCGAAGTAGTTTAATTAATCTAATAAGTTTAAATAAAATGCAAGAAGAAATGCGTATAATTTAATATTCCGTACAAGGAAGTCATGTGGTGTACACATCAAATTATTTTCTGTAAGAAATTGGCCAATTCATAACTGGTATACCAATTGTCTGTGGTGTCTTCAGGATTTGTATGATGGAGCTAGGATGCGCTTTGCTATTTTACTAGAACTGCTGACTTTCTTGTACGGCCCATCTGGTTGCTGACATGCGTAAATTTCCTTGTTGAAAGCGTAAAAGGTTCTAGAATCAACCATAGCAAATATCTTTATACCATATTTTGCAGGTTTCTTAGATATATACTGCCGAAAAGAGCATCGTCCTCGAAAAGGTTCTAGCTTTTTGTTCAAGGTAACATATTCCCCTGCATGATATAATTTCTGTCAATTCTTGACAAAATTTTCAAATAAATCTCTTATTGGAACTAATTTTTATCCTTTCCTATAAAATAGTCAGTTTGATCACAAGGAATGTCTTCTGAAGAGTCACACTCTTCTGATTTAGACTCATGATCACTAAATATATTTTCATTATCTAAATCTTCTAGTTCTTCTTCTATAAAATCTTCATCCGACGAAACCCCCTCTAATAATTTTTGAAGTCCTTTCATTTCTAGATCATACGTCAAATGACGAAAAGACGGAACAGAGCGACTTGCACACGCCATAGCTCACACTGAAAAACAGTAACACGAAAGCGCGCGTGGGGTGTCGGCACACCCCAAACTATTATTTAACTCTTTCGCATCGAAGTCGCCCGTAACGCCCATTCATTCAGGAACGGCAAATCGCCCCAACGCCTCGTTTATTTTCTACCTAATTCTTTCCCCTCCCCGTTAGTGTATGGCTCATTGGTTTTGCGAGTTGTTAAAGATATGTCAATCATTCTTTTGAAGCAAATAAAGGAGAAATACGGAAAGGTATTGACGTTCGCAGGTGCAATCCGTCCCTAAGGTAAAACCGCACACAATGGATGAAACCGCAGGGGGAAAGGAAAACTATTCCAAGACAAATTCGTAAACATGGGCGTTTTCGATGTTTGTTGAAAATAGATTTGGTCGTCTCTCGATGCGAAAGAGTTAAACAACTATAAATGCTCGGAATTTGCCGTTTCCTCTCGAGACGTATAGAACATGACCTTGAAGGCAGCTACTGATGGACCTAAGCAATTCGGATTATAGGGGAAGATTGCCAGCGAATTTTTGTTGAGCGTGTGGTGCCGAAAGACACCACGCGCGTCTTCCCGGGTTAACGAAATGAGTCTTAAGACTGGTTTAATCTACCAAATGCTCTTCACAGATTAACTTTACGATAACATCACAGGCAGGTAAGAGAACAGGATATCTGAAATCCTCTTTTTCAGGACAGTCTTCAGGTTTGGTTCTTATTCTCAGAGGCCCCTTTATCTCAAGAAACTTCCCATCTTGAAAAGTCCTTAACTGTATGGACTTGGAAAAAAGAATTTCTGCTTTTTTGAATTCTTCAAAGCTCAATCCATTCTTTATTTCTTGTCTTGAAAAGTCCTTAACAGTGTGGACTTTTTGAATTCTTCAAAGTGCAGGTTAGCTTGTTTTCGATTGAAATGTTTTGGAGAAAACGCAGAATCCGTGCCGCTACTCTGATATTTCTGCTATAAGTGGAAA